AAGAGAAGGGACAATATTCCTTTCAGAAGCATTCTGGCAAGCAAGCGTAGAGGAAGAGGGGAGCAGACAGTCCTTGAGAACACCAGGTAATTGCTGCAGGCAGGACCCACTGATGAATGATAAAATTACTGGGTGAAACCTTCAGGAGAAACGGGTTATTTACACAGCCTCAAAAACCTCCCTCCAAAAATTGACTAACTACCGTGGCGGTTTTAACATACGATCACAAGTTCTTGGATAATGTCCCCTCCCCAGGAGGTGGAGCTGAGCCCCCTACCCACCAGCATCTAGGCTGACCTGGTGTCTGAGGGGGAAAATAGTACCTTCACAGGAGAAGCAGACACCACCTTAACCACATCTAGGTTCACAGCACTGGTAATAAATGTTGACATCATGTGGCCCAATATGATGGGACAGAGGGGCACGTGGCCTCTGTGGTATACATCCTCTAACACCAGAAAGGCCAGTCTATTCATGAGAGCGCTGTAGACAAATTCAAGAACATTCTACAGAACACTTGACCACTACTCATTAACAGTGTCAAGGTCAGGAAAGACTGAAAAATGGTCACAGACTGAAGAGTCTGAGGAGGCACGACACATGTCTGTCACACACACCACATAACCATGTAACTGCAGCGTGGTACCCAGATTGGACCCTGGAACAGAGAAAAGGACACCGGAGGAAAGACTGGAGGAATCCGAATAAAGTCTGCAGTGCAATTTATTGTACCAATATTAATTTCATAGTTTTGATAAATGTACCTGGTTAGGTAAGGTGCTAACATTAGAGAAAAGTGGATGACAGATTTGCAACTTCGTCTAAATCTAAGACAATTTTAAAATGTAAAGGAAATCTTTATAGCAAGTGTGTGCACGCTCCTGACCCCATTGACAGCTGTGAATTATGAACCGGTCTCTACTGAGGGATGTTTTCAAAGTGCAGAGAGACGTCCCATCCTGGAGCCAGCAGCGTCACGGAGCACAGCCCCAGGGGGTTGTGTCTGGAACTCAGAGCCCTGGTCTGGGAGTCAGGAGACCTCCACATCCCCTAGGGGCAAGTTACATGCTCAACAAGACAACTAAATCTCTGTTTTCTCATCTGTGAAATGGAGCAATATGTACTTTCACAAGGTTATGAGTTTTCAGCTGAGAAAGCTGCTGTGCTAAATGTTTAGCACCTTACTCAGTAAGTGCTTAATGAAATCCCGGTTTGTCTAATTTATATCCATAACATTGATTACCTACAAACCAAGGGCCATAGACGCAGAAGCCTCACATCCAGGTGTGTTTAGGAGGCTCTGTGGCACATTCTAGAATGCATGCCCCTGATATGCAGGCACTGCCACTCACTTAGCTCCAACTAGCTGTGGCCCACGGAGTATGTCGCAGTGTTTCCAAATATTCAAGCTTTTCAAGAGAGTCTAGAAATTCTGATTTTCAGAAATGTGTAATCTCCGTATTTTTAAAATGTTGATAATGAAGTTAAGACATGTTAAAGCATTGTATGGAACATCAGATCATGTCTGTTAGCCAGTTGTGGCCTTCACTAGTTTTTGATCCCTGCATGGACTAATGGGGAAAACCTCCATGCTTCCCGTGGACCATGTAGCTATGCCTTAGATACCACGAGAAACACACCAGGCACATACAAAGTTAAAATACAACACCACGAGTCAAAGCAAGTTGAGGTCAGCCTTCTCCACCTCCCAGGTCGCTGCTGACCCCTGCGGGTTTGTATTGGTCACATACAGGCAATTCCGTTTGATGTCTAGTCTGCCTGACTGGGGCTGGGAGGGAGCTGGGAGGCCATCGGACCATCCTGCTCTGTACAGAGAAGCCCTAGGCCTGCATCTGCCCAACTCTGTCAGAGCACAGAGAGCCTCCTTGCCTGGCCGACTGGGGCCCAGGAGCCAGGTCTCCACAGTTGTCCCATTAACTGGACTCTAAATTACTGCCCCATTAAAAAGACTCTAAACGACCTTGCTTGATAGAGGCCCCTTTACACAGCGTATCACAGACCTGCTTGTCCAATGGACGAAGTGCCTATGATTCCTTCCTGCAGACACCCCTCATTTGGTCAGTGAAAATTCCCCAAGGAAGACTGAGCTAAGAGTGACAACTTCTGCAGCAGATTTTGTAGTCTACTCCTATTAGAAACTTTTAAAGGTAAGTTAACTAAAATACAAAATTTGGCTAAAATAGTTTCTCCCCATTCCCCACTAAAGTCCCAGCCCAGTGACTATTTGACTGTCATTGATCAACATTATTTTTTTCTGAGCAGAAAATGAGCTGCATGTCTTTTAGAAGTGTGGGATCTAGCCAGTGTCTGATTTCCCCAAGTAGTTGTGTTTTCCAGAAACACCTTTTTTTTTTTCTTTTAGAAACTGAGATATCTGGAACAGAGATTCCTTAATCATGTCTCTGGCACTGTTGAGTGGGAATAAAATCATGGTGGTTGTTCCACGGACATGTTTTCTAAATGAGTTGGATCATTGTAATCAATACAGCATGATTCCTTAGAAACTCAAGAAGTGTGAGCTGCAGCTGGGCTAAATGCACAAATGCAGTTTGCCTGGGAGGAGGGAGCCGTGAGCAGGGCTGACGAGGACCCCAGACACAGGGCGGTATTGAAGGAAATGAAACCCTGAGAGCACAACACGGGACGTAGAGCGGCGTTCACATTCCTTCCCCCACTCTGACTGTTGCAAGACAATGTTTTTGTTGCGATGGTCCACATTTTTGGCGATGCGAATGAAGATTACTGCATGCTGTGATTTACACAGCTTTCTCATCAGAAAAGCCCCCAAATAATTTGCTCAACAGGTTATAAGATTTTACACTATTATTAAAGATGCCCTTTAAGGCTGTATTTCAAAAAATTTGAATATAGTATATGTACACAACAAAATATTCCAAAAAGTACTCAAGAGTATAAAACTAAAACCAAAGGTCTTTCTCCTCCTCCCTGCCACTGTCAGCTATCCTTCCCAGATTTCTACTGTTAATGTCTTATTTACATTTCCATTACAATTAGAACATTTGTGTGTATTATATACGTGGTATCACATTTTCTTTCCCCCAAGCAGGACCCTTCTATATACAATTGCTCTGCATTTTTGCTTTTCTTCTCTTATGAAAACACTTTCCTTACCAGCCCACATTGTTTTTCATGTTGCTATTTTCTATGGCTATGCCAAAGTTTATTTAACCATTCTCATGTGGATGGACATTTAAATTACTTACTGTTCGAGTATATTACAAAAAATTGCAGAGGAACTCATACATTTTGCTCACATCTCCATGTGTTTCTGTGGCATTAACTCCTAGAAGTACAACTGGAGGGCAAAGACCATGTACTGAGAAATAATATATGATTCCTTATGGCCCTCAGCAGTTACACGGGTGTTCACATTTACAGACTCAAACCCTCTTCTATAGAGGGACTTCCTGTATCCACGAGGGCAGAATTCAGCAGACTGTCAGTGTATTCGGCTCCCAGCGAAAAGACACAAGCAAGCCTCTTGGCTTTGTCCTCAGGAGAGAACATACTGGAATGAGCCACCCCAAGACAGACCCTGGAGAGTAGGTGGCACTCTAAAAATATTTGTTGAATTAATGAATAAACAAATCATGGCAGTGCCAATACAGACTGAGTATGTGTTTTAATTCAATTATGCTTTAAACACAAGAAGAATGCATCATTTAAAGAAATTAACATAAACTTTAACCAGTTTTATTGCCTTCTAAAGTGGATAGGACAGATATGGAGTGTGAGGTTAGCAAAAGAAATGCTGAAAATTCTAACAGTAGAGAGATATTCTAAATGCCCAGTTATTCCTATTTCTCTTATTTTCTTTGGATGATACTTGGCTTATGTTATTTCAACCATATTATTATAAACATAGTTATTTCTTAAGAATGTGTTCAGATGCTTTTTATTTTGTGAGTTTCATTTACTTCATTTAAAAGGTTTCTTTTGTAGATTATGGCAAAGATATTTGATTTCAAGCTTATCTGTGAACTGAGGTGCTTGATTTAGAGATTCGTGGAGGCTGCCTCTGGCTCTAATACCCAGGGAACCCATCAGCATCAAGGTCAAGGGGCTGCTCTGTACCTTCAACATTACAGGGCCTTTGTGTCTCAGTTTCACTTCCAAAGGAGGGTATCTGCTTGCCCTGCACATAGATGAAGGCCAGATATCAATAATGAGGCAGGCCTTTAGCAAAAGGGGACTGTTTGTTGATAAATGGGCAGTGCCATTTCTCTGCATCCCCCATAGCAAAAGCATTTTTTTATACTAGAGTTTATATCTAGTGAAAGAATTAGTATTATTTGCAGTAATTCATTTCCAATTTGGAAATATCACAGTTCCAATGGCAACTCTTCCATGTACTAATTAACTTACACTTAAAGAGTCCTAAAACTCCCTTTCAAATAAATAATATAAATTCAATCAAAGAACATTTATTGAACCTTGGTTCATGTGTAAGGCTCATGTACTTATGTCTGCCTAGCAAGGGCTAGATAATGGTCAATTCTATAAACTAAAACAAAATTTTACAGTTAAATTTCTCGAGTTCCAGGTTACTCTGTGAAATAAATACCCCAAATTAAAGATGAATGCTGACCATCAGCTTTCTGAGAAGCTTCCACAGTTCCGGCACCTTTCATGAATGTTTCCTTGGGACTAACATCTGTCAAACAATGTAGGATATAGTTTGTATTATATTTACTCTTAAGAGGGTCTTGCTCAGTGTTATCAACACTAGTTCACACTCTTTGAGGCTCATACATATTTGACACGTAGAAATCAGAGATAGCAAAACTCTTTAAGCCTATGTACTGCTATTCCCAAACTGGAGCAGGTTAGGGTGTTCAAAGTGAAGAGAAAATGAGTCCAAGTGGCCAACAAGGACCCAGGTGCAAGGAGTGTGTCTCAGTTCCCAGCCCCAAGGGAGTTATTCCCACACCTGACAACACAGACGCAACACACTGTACCTTGAAGATGAATTCGCAGATGAGCTGATGTCCTGCGGGGGTGGAAAGGGGGCAAGTCTCAAAGCACCTCTGTCCACTCCTCAGCTTCAGTTTCTGAAGGCCATGGGCACCGTCCTGACATCTCATTTTTGCAGCTCTTTATATATGGAGGAGAGTTACAGAAATCCCCCAGCCTTTCAAGGTCATTTGAACCAAATTAGTAGCAGAATCAGACAATGTCTTTCCAGGGACACTGCAGCCTTCCCTTGTGGTGAGAGATGATGGCTCTAAACCAATTCCATCTCATTACCCCACCCACCCCAGGGCAGGCAAGCTTCTGTTTTGGCAGAGCCCCTGAGCGCTCTGACTTGGCCTGAACCAAGAGAGGTGACTTACAACATGGACTGGATTACCCAGGTGCCCTGTTCCTCTGAGACTCGTGAAAAGCCATCCTCTGCCCCTTTGCAAAGGGGACTGGAATGGTGGGACAAGCCACTCTTGGGTGTAACATTACAGGAAGACTTAGAGAGGCATCTTGTTCTTTGGAGCCATTAATCCTTGAATGGAATCTGGTGATGACATATCACGGCCTGTTTAGCTCTCTAGCAGCTGGAGCAGGAAATGACTCCTGGTGAGTGTTTTCCAGTAAAATGTATCCAAGTGAGATTGACTTCTCATTTTAGAGTGGCTCTTATCTCATTATGGTGGAGCACATTTCGTCCTTAGGAAAAACATTTAGAATACTAACTCATCTCATAACAAAAACAGCTCTGGTTTTCATCAAATCCTTCTACTATACTACTAATTGCATACCCATTACTTGGTTCAGTGGGTTAGAAATTTATAGCTTACACAGGACAACCTCGTCCAACACTGATGTTTGAATTTTATTTTGCTGAAGTGGTAATATTTAATGTTCAGTTTATGGAAGTACCTTAACAAGCCAGCTTACTTTAAACTGGATGCCTACTTTAATAGCACAACCAAATTTTACAGATGAGATTTTTTTCAGAAGGAGAGGAGTTAATTCTGAAGCCATTTTGCAGGGTACCACATGTACAAAAGCAACAATTTAAAGAGAGAAAAATTTAGTAAAAAATGATTCCAAGAAGTACATTGAAATTACAGAAATGAAGGGTATATAAAATCTCACATTTAAGAAAAGCCAAAAAACTGAGTAACGGGCAGAAGATAGATTACTAGATGAAGATATTTCCCTCCCTCCCTCCATCCCTGGGAGAGTAGTAACTCTACCTGGCTTATAACAATTCTGAAAATTCCTTATCTACTAATATGGAATTTTGCACAATTACTAATTTGTTATACTTCAACAAATGAGCATTTATGTTCTTCCTAGTTCAACTGGGGTTTTAATCTGTGAATATGTGGATGTCCAAATTTTGAGATTACTTTTATATTTTATTTGATTGGGACGGCAGGGACAAAGAGAGCTTAGGTCACACAGCTAGGAAGTGGCTGAATTGGAATTTGAACCCAGGTTGTCCGACTCTCAAGCTCTTACTCAAATGAGAGGTTCAGTTACAAGGAAATATATGCCCGTGTGCCAAGTCCCAAATGCTTCTACTTACTGATAGAAGAAGAAATGGTAGAACATGTGCTCAGGTTAGAGCCCCTATGGGGCCCCTCCTCCTGGAAGGTGGATCAGGGACTGAAGAGCCATGTGGCTGAGGCAGGTCCTCAGAGGGGCAGGTGCAAGGCAGGGGCACCCAGTTAGAGGACCTCTCCAAAAACCCACCTGGGAGCTTGTTTTAAGAATTAAGGTTGGATTCCCCAGCACAGCTCTTGGTATGTAGGAACATCTACTCAATGGACTTTTATTACTATAATTAAGACTATTATTATCATTATTATTATTATTAGCTGGAGACATTCTTCTTTCTGTTTTGAAACAGTGAGTTTATGCCATTTCACTTCTTGAACTTAACTTTTTTGCCTCCCTAAGGTTGCCCCAGAGAGAGAAGGGACATTTCAGGGGTGTCTGAGTGTCACCTGCATTTAGGAGAGGCATGCACAGAGCCTGAGCTCTGAGACCTGGCAGATTAGATGCAAAGAGAGAAGAAAAGGAAAAATACAGCCAGAAGGACAAATGTTCTATTGGGAGAGAATCATGTCCGTATTTATTAAAAACACATCCTCCATGAATCAGGCCAAGAACAGCCCTGCCAGTGAAAAAGGAATTGGAATTGGAACCCTAACTATTTTCTTGAGTATACAACTCTAGGAATTTTAGTTCCAACCTAAAAGATTCACAGATGCACCCCTGGAACCAATCCCTCAGGGACTAGCAAGATAAGGCAGGTTGATGTGGGAGTGGCCATGCAGTGACCCCCGCAGGGGGTGGCGAGGAGAGGCTTGGTATTCATTAGCAAGTAAGTGGAAGGTTGGAAATCTGCCCCTTGTGCTCTATTCCAAACTGCCTGTTTTAAAATCTGGCTCTGCACGATGGCCAATGGCTTAATTGGACCATGGCCCAGACTTTTTTTAAGTTGCCTGGTATTTGACCTTCTCTATTACTTCCATCACCTGTATCTATTCTGAGTTCCAATCTCTGCTTATGCGACAGCCAGTTTCCATTTAGCTGTCAGGTATGTGTTAACTGTACGTGGGACATGTTTTAATCAGGTATGGCAAGACCCACAGACATGGAAATGTCTGCCAGGAAGGAAGAAATTTGTACGCACAGGTCTCTTGAACGAGGAGGCAGGGCAGGGCATGGCACTCAGGACCAATGGGGAAGGACGAGGGCCGGTCAGGAAGCAGAAGCTGAGAGGAGAGAGCAGGGCCTGGAACCTTTATTGGGGTTCTCGAGGGAAGTAGGGGAGGCAGGGCAGGTGGGCTGTGTAAATTTAGGGTTGGCTGGTTTGAGCAGTTGAGTGGCTGGGGGCAGTAAGGCAGTGGCCCCTAGTTGTCCAGTGTCTGGCCTGGGGGTGATTCAGAGCAGAAGGAATGTTGACTTGGTCTGTGAGACTTTTTCAAAGGAGACAGTTGGGGATGCGGGATCTGGAATGGTAGGCTCCTATATCAACGGTACATTTGAAAGGAGTCATTTGCTGTCTATAGGAATTAACTAGTCCTAGGAGGGACAGTCTCTCCAGGATCAAGGCCCCAAGGGCCAGAGCATCAATAATATAAAAGTAAGAAAATAAAGCCAATACACTGTGGATAATTTCCATATTCCCTGTTGTCTTGCCAATGGGTTTCAGCCCTGGGCAAGTTTGCTATTGATTCAATGTAACCAAAGAAATGACAGTAGAACGTTCTTGGGGTGAAAGGATCATAACCAACTTTATTTCCAGGTGGCAGGTCAGTCACTAATATCCCATTCACTCAGAGTGGGCCTGCCTGAAGCAAGCTGCTCTCTGCCTCTGGGCCCCTTTGCACGGTCACCCTCTGGGCCTCTCTTCACAGTCGTCCCGCACAGCCATGCTCTGGACCTCTGTCCTCTGTGCTGCCACCACTCCAGCCTCTGCTCTGCTCCCCTGCAGCCTTGCAGCCACGCCACCGTGTCCCATGCAGAGCACTGGGCAGAGCTCTAAAAGAGTCAAAAGGTGTGTATTGATCACAGGTGTGCAGTGAGCTAGTCAACCAGGGCCAGGTGAGAATCCTGGCCACAGGAACTCTCATTTTATCCACACCTGTTGCCTCCAACATCTTGCCAGCTGTGCCCAAGGAATGCGGTGTCAGCCCACCATGTTCACTGGCCTTGGCCTGGGCACAGCTGCTGACTGTGGTCAGAGAATCCTGGCCATGGTGACTTTTAGATAAACACTACCTGGGCAGAATCTGACCCTGGGACCCTCTCAGCTTCTCATAAGGACCCTACCCCTTTATTGTCAGTTCTTCCAGCCTTCCCTCAATGATAGTACCTTCCCAGGCTGGGGCCACTTCTCCTTCTGTGGGTAAAATGCCAATATTTCTAGAATCTCTTGCCTGGCCTTAGTCCATCTCCATGTCAACAGGTGATTACAAGGAGGAGTGAGGGCGTATCCGAACCGGAGAGGTTGGGTGGGGTCCCTTTTTGCAGTTGGGTCCTGAGAGACACAGGGGATCAGAAATGGATGAATGCTTATAAGCAATAAACAGGTGTCTCCCACTTTATTTCTCCCTTTGATTGATTTCAGCTTCAAAGGTAATTTGCCCCGGGCTGGGAACATATTTCCCCCCTGGAGTTACACCTTCTTAGACCCTCAGCCCTGCTGAGCACGTCAACAAGAGGCAGCTGGGGAGGCAGAGGAGCCTGTTGGCTCTGGTTAAGCCCCAGCCTCTGCTGGGCTGTGACCTTGGGGAATGTCATATATGTGCATATGTATATTGTTTTTTTCTGAAGAGAAGGTTCACAGCCTTCTTCAAATCCTCAAAGGGCTCCCGGACTCTAAAAGGTGTGCTGACAACAGCAACAATGACAAGAGCACCTAACATCTACTGAATATTTATCATGTTGCAAGCGCGATTTTAAACTGTGAGAATTACCTCGTTCAATCCCCATGCAGAGTTCAGAGCGAGGCACCTTCCTCAGGTCAGGAGAATCACCAGGGATCAGCAAATACGGCCCCCAGGCCAAATCTGGCCCACTGCTTCTTTTTCATTTAAATTTTTTAAAATTTTGTGGTTAAATATACATAACATGAAATTCACCATTTTATTTCTTTTAAAGTGTGCCATTCAGTGGCATTTGGCATGGCACAATCACGATGCTGTGCAACCAATCTGGGACTTTCCATCACTTCTACAGGAAATCCCCATACCCGTTAAGCAGCCAGTCCCTGTGTGGATAAAATGAGAGTTCCTGTAGCCAGGATTCTCACCAGGCCCTGGCTGACTAGCTCACTGCACACCTGTGGGCAATACATGGCTGTTGACTATATATAAAGAGCTCTGCCTAGTACTCTGGATGCAACACAGCGGCAGGGCTGCAAGGCAGCAGGAGAGCAGAGCAGCGGCTGGAATAGTAGCAGTGCTGAGGACAGAGGCCCAGAGGACGGCTGTGCAGGATGACTGTGCAGAGAGGCCCAGAGGATGGCTGTGCTGGACTGCTCTGCAGGCAGAGAGGCCCAGAGGATGACCGTGTGGACAGAGGGGCCCAGGGGCAGAGAACAGCTTGCTGCAGACAGACCTGCTCTGAGTGAACGGGATTTTAGTGACTGACCTGCCACATGGAAATAAAGTTGAGTATAACCCTTTCACCCCAAAAACATATTGCTGTCAATTTCTTTGGTCACATTGAATCCATAGCAAACTTGCCTGGGACTGAAACCCATTGGCAAGACACCCTGTCCTCCACTCCTCCCAGCCCCTGGAATCCCCTATCTACTTTATGTCTCTAAGGGTTTATCTGCAGTTGTCTGTCCCACATTATGCACAGGTTCACTTCCTGGGCTTCAGTCTCCTGAAATCAGCCATGATCTGGAGGCAGCTGACCTTCCTTCTGACATTTGAGAGAGAGACCACATTCACCTAAGTAACTTTTAGTACAGTACATTGTTATGTGTTC